AACCTATATGCATGGCACTGTGAGGCTACAGCATAGTCTTGGTTCTCGAAAGACAGGAATTATACTCAATAATTAAACATACACGCCATCAAAAGATGTATTAAATAAAATATACTTTTTAACTGAAGTGAATAGGAAAGAGTTTGTAGAGAAAATCGGATCATGACTAGGCCTTAAAGATTAGATATAATTCAAATAAGCAGAAAACTAAAAGGAAAGTATTTTTCAAAGGAGGAACATATGAGGTACAAAAGTAGGTGTGATTGTCATTCATCCACCTACCCAACAGACCATCCATTCATTCATCAGATTTCTATTGAGAAATTATTCTCAAAGTCCCTGTCCTCAAAGGCTAGTAAGGAAATGCACACAAATGATTACATTTCAATATAACAAATGCCCTACAATAAAAATTCTCAACTGATCTCTTGTAATCAATCCTCACTTAACCAAACTGCAAGATTAACCAGTATTTTCCACTCTCTCTATAACCCACAGTCTAGTGATAGTTCAGGATAAGGGTATTTTTTAAAACACTGATGTACTTCTATTCCACCCAGCTGTACTGTATGCTTACCAAGAATCAGTTCATTTTGTCTGCAAACTTTTTAGGTCAGTTGTACTTGTTAATGAAATTATGTACATTACATAAAGCAATGGAATATGAGAAAGAACAAGAGTTATTTCTAAGAAAACTAAGTGGAAAACTTTGGTAAGACTCAATGAAGGCTAATCACTAAACCTTCTGTCAATGTATCTGTGTTGTTGTTGTTAGGTGCCGTTGACTCTGTTCCAACTCTGTTGTACCCTATGTACAACAGAACAAAACACTTCCCGGTCCTGTGGCATCCTCACAATGGTTGCTATGTTTGAGCCCATTGTTGCACCAACTGTGTCAATCCATCTTGTCGAGGGTCATCCTCCTCTTTTTCGCTGACCCTCTACCTTACCAAGCATGATGTCCTTCTCCAGGGACTAGCCCCTCCTGATAACATGTCCGAAGTATGTGAGATGAAGTCTTGCCATCGCTTCCAAGCAGCACTCTGGCTGTACTTCTTCCAAGACAGACTTGTTCGTTCTTCTGGCAGTCTGTGGTACACTCAACATTCTTTGCCAATACCATAATTCAAAGGCACCAGTTCTTTGGTCTTCCCTGTATTCATTGTCCAGCTTTCCCATACATATGAGGCAACTGAAAATATGGTTTGGGTCAGGCGCATCTTAGTCCTCAAAGTGACATCTTTGCTTTTCAACACTTTAAAGAGGTTTTTTGCAGCAGATTTGCCCAATGCAATATGTCATTTCATTTCTTGACTGCTGCTTCCAAGGGCATTGATTGTGGATCCAAGAAAAATGAAATCCTTGACAACTTCAGTAATTTTTCCATTTATCATGATGTTGCTTATTGGTCCAGTTGTGAGGATTTTTGTTTTATGTTGAGGTATAATTCATACTGTAGTCTTTGATCTTTGAATCTAAATGCTTCCAGTTCTCTTTGCTTTCAGCAAGCGAGGTTGTGTCATCTGCATATTGCAGGTTGTTAATGAGTCTTCCACCAAACCTGATGCCATGTTCTTGTTCATACAGTCCAGCTTCTTGGATTATTTGCTCACATACAGACTAAATAAGTATGGTGAAAGGATACAACCCTGACACATACATTTCTTGATTTTAAACTATGCAGTATCCCCTTGTTCTGTTCAAACAACTGTCTCTTGGTCTATGTACAGGTTCTGCACGAGCACACTTAAGTGTTCTTGAATTTCCATTCTTTGCAATGCCATCCATAATTTGTTATGATCCACACAGTCGAATGCCTTTGCATAGTCTATAAATGTTTACACAGGTAAACATCTTTCTGGTATTCTCTGCTTTCAGCCAGGATCCATCTGACATGAGCAATGATATTCCTCATTCTACGTCCTCTTCTGAATCTAGCTTGAATTTCTGGCAGTTCCCTGTTGATGTACCCTTGCAACCGATTTTGAATTATCTTCAGCAAAATTTTACTTGGGTGTGATATTAATGATATTGTTCGATAATTTCTGCATTCTGTTGGATCACCTCTCTTTGGAATGGGCACAGATACGGACCTCTTCCAGTTAGTTGGCCAGGTAGCTGTCTTCCAAATTTCTTGGCATAGACGAGTGGACGTTTCCAGCACTGCATCCGTTCGTTGAAACATCTCAGTTGGTATTCCGTCAATTTCTGGACACTTGTTCTTCACCAATGCCTTCAAGCAGCTTGGACTTCTTCCTTCAATACCAATTGATTCTTGATTATATGCTACCTCATGAAATGGTTGAATGTCGACCAATTCTTTCCAGTATAATGACTCTGTGTATTCCCCTACCCTCCTTTGACATTTCCTGCATTGTTCAATATTTTGCTCATAGAATCCTTCAATATTGCAACTTGAGGCTTGAATTTTTCTTCAGTTCTTTCAGCTTAAGAAATGTTGAGAATGTTCTTCCTTTTTGGTTTTCTAACTCCAGGTCTTTGCATATTTCCCCATAATACTTTACTTTGTCTTCTCGAGCTGTGTGTGTAGGTGCGTTAAATGCAAAAGTTTGTTGGTGGCAAGGGGGTTACATAAACCAGATTGATTCTTGCACTCAAATTGCTTCGCAATAATCGTTAAGTTCATGTTCAACTTTAAAGAAACCAAAATTAATCTGCAATATAGTTGTAGCTGATGCAAGAAAGACTACCCAGAGTTCCAGTATCATACTCAAAGGCTTTGGCCCTACATAAAAAGACTGACAAACGAATGTAAATTTATGATTTAAGTTATAATAAAAGGTTTATTAAGTAAATCATTTGTTTATAGTTTCTAATTTTAATTGACTTTTTGATTAACCTGAAAACTAGGTAAGAGAGTTTCTACTGTTTACGAATTCAATAAAGACTTCACAGAGGAGAAAGCCCTGGAGCTGAGTAAGTTTGCCACAGGGAAAAAGCAGAAGACAGCATTTCATCAAAAGGAAGCATGGCACTGAGGTGTGTTTAGGAGAATTACACAAGTACATACTTCATTTGGCCACTTAATTCCATGTTCCCAAATATAAGTAAGAGGCCTTAAATGCCAGGCAGAGCAATTTGGACTTCATTATTGTACATAATAGGGGAATTACTGAAGGTTTCTCATCATGGGCAAAACGCAATGTGCACAATGAAGGTAACGTTTTAGGAAAGATTCATCAGCCTGTACTGGAAAAGATGGAAGGAAAAGAGAGTGTAACCAAGGGCAGGGTTGCCTGCTGAGAAACTACTAACAAAGATTTAGAAGGAATGTTCCAAGGGAATAAAGTGGCAGCAGACAATGGGAATAGGGAGGGAAAGAAAGAATTCAAGTAATATGGTAAAGGAAGAGTTACTAGAAATAGTAAATGATTAGGGAGGGAATGACAGCATTGTTAGTAGAATTAAAGAAAGAAGGCTGGGAAAGAGTTGCTTATGGGCAAAAGATTAAAGGCTGGTTTTAGACATGTGGTATAAGAAGATAAGACAGATTAGCCACATAGAAATGGCAGCTGTGGGTGTCAGAGTAGAGATCAGGAGATAGGCTGGCTGAAAATGCAGGTTCTGGAGAAGGCCAAAAGGGAAAGAATGATACTCCTTATGGCTAAGTCTAAATCCTTGGGTAGCAAAGAAAATATCTGATAGGTATAAACTTGAGCCACGTAAGCAGATTTAGTCAAGAATCCATACTCTTCCACCCTCAATATTCAGGTTATCCTCCTCTTCAGCCTAGAGGTGGACTCAACCTCAAATGTCTTCCAGTCAAAGTTTCTTCTTCTCTACTCTAGTCAGCCCTCTGCCTTACAAAGACCCACAAACTTAAGCCAAACCTCTCTTCTACACTGTTTGCGATAATTTTTCTTTTTAATCAGAACCCATATCTCAAACAATGCGGAACCTAAGTGTTTACCTTTACTCATTCTGTGAACATGATAGCATAGAAATCTAGCTTACCTGATCTTCTATATACTACACGTAATTTTCTAGTCATTTATGTTCCCATTTCTAGGATCTTAACAATGAGAGTAATTGATGGTGTGTGGAGAAAAAAGGCACGAAAGGAAACTTTAATTTTGTGGGATTCTCATGTTACAGGTAAGATGAAGAAAAAGGAGACAAACAGGACAATCGACAAGAGAGGAGCGTAATGACAGCACATTATCATGGATGATATGGAGAGTTTCAAAAAGGAGAGAGCAGTCAAGTGCATCAAATGTTTTAGACAATAATGGTAAAACTTATCAACATTTTCTATGTGCCAGGCACTGGTCTAAGAACTTTTTCATACATTATTTCACTAAATACTAACACCAATTCTGTGAAGTAGATACTATTATTATCTTCATTCTACCACTCACCAGCTTCACATAGCTGGTGAGTGATAAAGCCAGGGTTCAAATGCAGTAATATTATTGTTTTATGTGTGCCATGATGTAAAAAAGGGCTAGGTAGTACTGCTCTATACCAGTGTAATATGGTTGTCTCACCAAGAGGGTGGAACTGAGAGAGGTTGATTGAATATTTTGGAGATCAAGAGTAACTAGGGATAAGTAATGTCAGCAGCAAGGTGGGGATAATAAAGCAGAGAATTAAAAATGGTGGCAGTGAAAGGAAAGAGAAAAACAGGCTGATAGCTAGAAAACTCAGCAGAGTTAAATGAATGGATTTCTTCAAGATGGAGAAGATTCCAGAGAGTTTATAACATATTAAAGACTTATAACATATTTATAACAGATTAAAGAAGTAGATTTTAAAAATAAGATGCCAAGAAAGATTAAGCAGAGTGAGGCAAATAGAGTCATTAACAGACTTACCTTGGTAGAATCTAAAGAGGGAAGATACTATGCTTTCTATGACAACAATAAGCTTTATGTGAAACAGCAGAAGTTTGCTATAAATACAGATAAAATGATTGGAGCCAGTGGCAAAGCTTTAATCATTAGGAAGAATGCATTAGTCTAAAAAACAATTTACGCTACCTTGCTTGTTTCATTCTCTTTGAATCCTTTTTCAAGTATTTGCAATAGATGCTTTTTCTTCACGGTAACTTCGGGATCAAAAACATAAAAAAGGCATTCCAGCATCTTTCGATAGCTCCTTAAAAATAATTGAAATAGAGAAAATTTTAGAATTGATTTTATAAAATCTTAACCATACGTAAGGTGACCATCTGTCCTGCTTGTAATATTTTCCATTTACATCAGATATGCCATCATCATCATTAATACCTCCACTCCTCTCCACTCTCAAAAAGAGGCCCAATGAGGTCATACTAGCCATAAGAGATGCATGTAAAGGAAATGTTTACTAACAGGGTGCATTTTCAATATTGTAAACTTTTAAAACAGACTTTTTTTTTTAATAAAATAAAATTGAACTTCGTAAAGATATTCCTTATAAAATCTAAATTCTTACTCTGAATCATGCATATCTTCATTGTCCAAAAACTTCTGGAATTTGTCTTCAAATTTTAGTCTCAGAATACGGTTGTTAACTTTAATGACACGTTTTACTTTCACTCCTGTAATGCCATACATTCTGAAGTCCCAAGTACAAAACCGTGACAGAATTAATTCATAACAGGAATTAAACCTATATGGGAATACAGAATATATGCAAAGAGAATGACATATTTTCCTTAATATGTTGAAGAACACAAAGTTATACGTAATAAAATTTAAAAGTTAAAGCTCAGATTTTGTGTTTTTCCTAAAGATATATAGTCACATAATAACTTTGTTTTGGTTCAAATGTTGTTGTGTGCCACCAAGTTGATTCAGACTCATAGCGATTGTTATCAATTAAATTGTATCCCCTAAAATTATCTGTCAACTTGGCTGGGTCATGATTCCCAGTATTGTATGATTGTGTACCATTTTGTAAACCTGATGTGATTTCCTTATGTGTTGTAAACTCTATCACTATGATGAGGTTATATGTGATTTCCTTTTGTGTTGTAAACTTTATCACTATGAGGAGGTTATATTGATGAGGTTTACAAGATTAGATAGCGTCTTAATCCAATCTCTTTTGAGATATAAAAGAGAGAAGGAAGCAGAGACACATGGGAACCTCACAAAACCAAGACAGCAGTGCTGGGAGCAGAGCCCATCATTTGGACCTGAGGTTCTTGTGCTGAGATGCTCCCAGACCAAGAGAAGATTGATGCATCACAAGGACCTTCCTGGAGCTGACACCCTGAATTTGGACTTGTAGCCTACTGGACTATGAGAGAATAAACTTCTCTTTGTTAAAGCCATCCACTTGTGGTATTTCTGTTATAGCAGCACTAGATGACTAAGACAGCGATCTACAGGAGAGAAGAGACCTGCCCCATAGGGCTTCCTAAGCTGAAATTTTTATGGGAGCAGATCACCAGAGGTCTTTTCTCCTTCATTCAAATAGAGAAGATTTATTCAATCACTAAAAGAGATGCTCAATTTTGAAACATAAAAAATAATGAGCATTTTTATTATTTATTATATATTTATTCTGACTAAAAGCTATGTTGGTTGAGCAATTCTCCCTACCTGAAATACTTTTGTTTTTTGGTTATAGGGAAACTACATATTCCTGGCTTTCCTCTTATTGGCTGCTCCCTAATGGTTTTCTTTATACAGGACTTCTAAATGTTGGAGCACCCCAGGGATCAATCTTTGGCTCTCCTTTTGTTTCCATGAGTACTTTCCCCTGATACCTTGGCTTTATACATATAAATTTCAACATTTTATTTCCAACGTTGATTGCTACTCAACTGTAACATAGTTTTTTTTCTTGAAATACTGTTTTGATCCAGTTTTGAGGCCCTGGCTGGAGTCCAGTCAGTCTACAGTCCAACCTGTTCATTTATTGGGCTCTCACAAGATGGGGCCACTATGTACCTGTCCTATTGCCTCAAGGCCTGGTACCAAACAACTAGGGACAGCCCCTATGCCCCTGAACCTGCAGAATTGTTCAAAATACCAAATCCCCATGAAGCCTGTGAAACCTATCTAACCCCAAACTGTTTGCCATACAGAAGACATCTCCCACAATTCCAGCTTGCTGTTACCCTGTCCCTGGGTATAACACCCTGTGTGGCCCTGCTTGGTAGTCTTCTCTGGTTTGGAGCTGTAACTAATGAGCCTGCCTTTCATTTATCCAAGTGTTTTTGTGCTGCCTCACCAAACAAAGAACTTGCAGTCACACCTAGTATCATATGATTATAAAACACCAACTTAGCTAGATACAGCCAGACTTGAATATCCAACTGCCTATTTGATATAGCCACTTGTATATATAATAGTCCTCTCCAACTAATTTATTCAACACCTGTCCCCAAACCTGCTCCTCCTGAGTATTCTCCATCGCAGTCCATGGGACCATCATCTAATTGGTAACTTAGGTTAAAAACCCAAGAATAATCCTTGCTTCTTCTCTCTTTCTCACCAATATCCAATTTTTCAGCCGTCTATTTGGCTCTACATCTAAAATATTTCCTGAATACAACCAAGTTTCATCAACACCACCGTTACCACCCTAGTTCAATTCACCATTGTCTCTCAGCTGAACCATTGCAATAACTTCCCAACTAGAGATATAAAAATGAAGGAGAAAGAGTCCCTGCTCTCATGGAGCCTAGATTCCAAGAGGGTAGACCAAAAATAAACAAAGACATAAATAAAACAATTTCTAAACTTATAAGTGTTTTTAAGAAAGAGAAGGTCAGAGTAGAGAATGGAGTGGGCTACTTTAGATATGGTCTCAGGGAAGACCTTTCAGAGAAGATACTTGAGCTAAGAACTAGAGAAGAAGCAAGAACCAAGTATGTGAAGAATTCAAGAAGAACTGAAGTGCTCCGTTACTCTCTGCTGCCTTCACCTGGCCATGCTCGCAATAATTCTGGCCCTATCTTAAAGTAGCACAGAATTTAGATTAAGATGGGATCAGAAAATGGATCAATTTGAGAAGAAAGTAAGTGATCCTACACAGGATACATTTGCCTTTGATGAGATGTCTAGGTTCTCACCTACATAATCAACTAGGGCCTGAACCTGGGTGTGAGCTATGATCACAAAGGTAAGCTTCCTGATGGGTAGTCTCTCCCTGAGTCTAGAATCTGAGCTCCTAACTTAGAGTATCTGCCTTTTTTGCTAGCAAAGACTGAACCACTGCAACCAGGAGTTGCCCGATTACTTCTCCTTTAGAGTGGAAAAGTTTGCTGTCTGAACCATACTAATTCCAGAGGAGCTCACAGTCTTGACAGAGAAGACAGATAAAAATAGTGTTGCAGTCCAGCACGATGTCTACTAACTTGTTTAGAGCTATGGCTAAACAGTCACATCAACATCTGGTGTGAGAAACTTGCTTTCCCTCCTATAGAGGGATCATTTGCTGGTGCTAAATCAGTCAAGTCTCCCTAAACAACACGTCCTGCAACCACTGAAACTCTCAGGTAGAAATTAGTGCTATAGCCATTTTGGATAAGGTTTAAGTTACATAGTGGACATTTTTGTAGGGTTTGAGAGTTCCCAAAAGTTAGTGGAAGTGATGAATGGACAATGACTAGCTTTTAGTACAGTCCCCCAGGAATGCAGGGACCAGTAATGGGTACAGGGAAACTCCATGGGGTATGATCCTTCCATGGAGCTTTTCTTTGCCCAGTCCCCAGTAGCTGAGTCCTACCTCACATGGAATTCCTGCTGCTGTTGTTGCTGAGTGCCACTGAACTGATTCCGATTCATAGTGACCCCATGTGACAGAGTAGAACTACCTCCCATAGGGTTTTCTTGCCTATAATCGTTACAGAAGCAGATCACCAGGTCTTTCTTCTGCAGAGCTGCTGGGTGGGTTTGAACTGTCAGCCTTTCAGTTAGCAGCCGAGCGCTTAACCATTTGTGCCACCAGGGCTCCTTAAGCCCTGGATATAGGAAACCCTAGTGATAAGAGGGCATGGACTCTGTGCTATCTGGGGACACAGAAGTAAAGTAATTAATCACTAAGATTCAGTCACCTGGCCATACTGGGGATGAGAACACATCATTCACAGAGTGCTGGTATACTGCTGGAGGAGGGAGAACTAGATTTATGATGACAGAGATGTACTGCAACTTTCAATATTATCAGTACCTCATAGAGGATGACAACTCCCCACAGCACTGCTGAAAATGTGCTACTTGAGAGCGTGTCATTACTGGCCCGAGGTATATGCAGTTTTTTAGTGTGAATCTGAAATGATGACTCTCTGGGAATTAATATAAAATAATATATAAATCTGCCACACCTTAACTTTGCCTTTAGGGGCAAAATTCAAACTACCAGCCTAGCTCACCAGCCCTTAATAATCAAACCCCTCTCATGTGAAACTACTGGTAGTTCCCCAAATGTATTACACTATTTATATACCTTTGAATGTGCTATTTCCCTCTTCTGGAAAGTCCTTCCCCCAATTCTTTGCATAGTTAACTTCTATCTGCTTTGGGGTCCTCACTTCAAAACTCAGATCAAGGCACCTTCCTCAAGTGTCCTCACTTCCATAAAATTTTCTGTAAACCCCTATTCTGCTTTAAATGTTCTGATTCTCCATACACACAATTATCCTAGAATCTATTACTGTTTTGATAACATAGTCTCCCCCACCAGAACACAGGCTTGATTAGGGCAGGAACCATGTCTCATTTCACTTTTACCTCTAGCATCTAACACAGCATCTGGCCCATAAAGAAGCTTAGTGGATGTGTGCTGAACAAATGAACAAACTAAAAATGTTAGTCTCTATCTTCACTGAGTTTATAAACCAATTGGGATGAAAAGAGTTGAACAAGGATAAGCAAAACTATAACAGAGAATAGGAGAGATACATTTCAGACTATGAAGATTAAAAAACAATAATAAGCATATCTGAAGGAGATGATAAGAACATGTCTCACAGAAGAGTGGCTCTTGATGTGAGCCTTGAAGAAAAAGCAAGTTTTGACAGACAGTGGTGGAATGACAGTGGTGAATATAATGGCATTCTGGGTAAAGGAAGCTGAACAAACAAAACCACTTGAGTGGTGAAGTACCAACTATGTTCTGAGAGCAGTGAGGTACACAGTTTATCTGACTCAGACGAGGTTTGAAAGGAGTTAGGATAGTTTAGAGACCATACAGTGGAGGACGCTGAATATTGGAGTGAAGAGTTTGAATGAAATTTGGAAGGTAACAGGCAGCTACCATAAGGTTTTTTATTATTTTAACGGAGTGCTCTCTGCATAGGAAGCATGCCAACAGGGATCATATGGGAGACCATTTAGGAACCTATATTCATTGATTAATGAATACTAAGTGCCTCCTACATGCAGGCACTGTGCTAGGTGTTGTACCAATAGTCTAGGTGGGGGTTATGAATGCCTGTGTGGAGGTCACAATGGACAGAAGGGACAGAATGCAAGAGACATTACAGAGGAGAAGCTGTGGGTCTTGGCACCTCCTTGGATATGGACATTGAGGGAGAGAATGGAGTTAGGAATGGCTTCAGGGTTTCTTGAGCCTGGACAGGAATGAGGGAATCAGAAGGAAGGGGTGGTTTGTGAGCAGGAAGATGAAAACAAAAACATAAAAATTAAGAACTAATTATTTAGTTCTATTTCACATTATCGTGTCTAATACACCAGTAACCTTTTATGGTAGATTTTTTTTTCTCATTTTACAGATGAGGTTCAGACAAGTTAACTAATTGATTTACGATCATACACATAGAGTTTAAACTTAGGCTTTCTGACTTTAACTCCATTATATGTCCCATTACTTCACAGCTGAGTTCCCTTTTGAATGTGTTGAGTTTACCTTGCCAGCTGGACATCCAGATTTCATTTTTCTTGGATCTATAATCAACATCCATGGAAGCAACAGGAAAGAAATCAAAAGACACACTGCATTGGGCAAACTGGCTGCAAAAGACCTCTTTAAAGTGTTCAAAAGCAAAGACGTCACCTTGAGGACTAAGGTGCACCTGACCCAAGCCATGGGATTTTCAATTGCCTCATATGCATGCGAAAGCTGGACAATGAATAAGGAAGACCAAAGAAGAACTGACACCTTTGAATTGTGGTGTTGGCGAAGAATACTGAATATACCATGGACTGCCAGAAGAATGAACAAATCTGTCTTGGAAGAAGTACAGTCAGAATGTTGCTTAGAAGCAAGGATGGCGAGACGACACCTCACATACTTTGGACATGTTATCAGCAGGAACCAGTCCCTGGAGGACATCATGCTTGGAAAAATGGAGGGTTGGCGAAAAAGAGGAAGACCCTCAACAAGATTGAATGACACAGTGGCTGCAACAATGGGCTCAAGCATAGCAACAATTGTGAGGATGGTGCAGGACCGGGGAGTGTTTCGTTCTGTTGTGCATAGGGTCACTATGAGTTGGAACCGACTCGACAGCACCTAACAACAACAACAACTGTCAGAAATTCATAACTGAAGTCTAGGAGAGAGGTTGTAACTATAAGCAATTTGTGAATGTGTAGGCGTAGAAGAGGCTGCTAAGAAAGAGTGTAAAATGAAAATAGAAAATGTAGAAGTACGAAAAACAAGAGAGGTGAAATTACAAGGAAGGAATGGAGAACAGCATCAAATACTGCAGAGGTCATCAGGACTCGAATGTGTAAGCATCCACAGTGGTGCCATGGATCACTGACTAAAATCTTCACGTACAGAAAGAGATGCCTACAAATGTTCATCAATATACAAATGATGCATTTATTTAGCAAATGTAGAATGCACATGTTTTTAAATGGGTGGAGCTAATCAAACCTATTAAAATACATTTCGTAATCCTAAACAAACAAAAAACCAACCAAAAACCCGTTGCTGTCGAGTTAATTCTGACTCACAGCAACCCTACAGGACAGAGTTGAACTGCCCATAGGGTTTCCAAGGAGTGGCTACTGGATTCGAACTGCTGACCTTTTGGTTAGCAGCCTGAGCTCTTAACTAATGTGCCACCAATCCTAAACAAAGTATTAATAATTACTATTACCTGACTCATTGACTTAAATCAGTATCTTTTCCGTATAAAACAAGAAGTTTCTGCTGCTGTAGCTCCCTGCAACAGTACAGCCTGACATCTTTATATACACGCATATTTACAGTTGATTAACAACTGAGTCATTATACACACTGTCTACATTATAGTCACTATATACACTACAAAGTGATATAGAAACTTCAATTAGTAATTATCTATTGAGCTATGAATCCAGCCCTGTGCTAAATGTTATGACTTATAAGGTGCATGGAACATCATATCTATCCACAAGAAGCTCATAAAGTCACTTACATATTGTTTTGTGGTGCTTTAAAGTTTTTTTTTTTTGTTTGTTTTTTAATTGTAAATGCCCTGTATCTATAACCAGGTTGAAAGCTTCTGAAGCAAAATGACAGCATCTTTTATGCTTTGGAGTCCCCACTTGATAAATGTTGTCTGATGTCAATGGGTAACTCAACTGACAATACACAGGTAAATAATATGAGTCTATAATGATAATGCTATAGTGGCAATAATCTACTCAACTAGCAAGTTTCTATAAAATACGGATTATTTAAAACTGAAAAATACAATAATCATTGTATTTCATCAAAGAAACAAAGTTAAGAAATACTGAATGACATACAATTAGAAATTCACAATGTTCTTTTGCTAAAGAAATAAACAAAGGCTGTTTTGATAGAAAACCTTTATATTTGAGCCCTAGCTCTACTAAAGTATTTTTATTTAAATGATAAACTCTTGGCTTTAAAAAAAATTAATAAAAGAGAAGTCAGTGTTTAAATGAAACAACTAGAAATGCAGCACATAGCAATTTAAGCACTTTAGTAGTTATTTCTTAACATACATAAAAGATCACAGCTAAGGTGGCCAGGCTTGTAAGCGCACTAAAAATAAAAAGCAGTCCTTGAAATCCTGCCAACATATACTTGATTTTCTCCTTAAAATGGATCAAGGTTGTTCTTATTAAAACCAAATAAACAATTGTTAATGCTTATCAAAGTCAATCAAAGTGATCTAGAAGTTTACTACCAGGCTGACATAGTTATCTAAATGGCTTTTTATTTATTCTGCTTTAACGTGCACCCCCACCCCCCACCCCCCCCAATCTGCTTGTTTTGTAAAGGGCTTCCTTAGCAGTAAGTGAAAAAGTCACAAATGATAAAAAATAAATGAAAGGCTGGAAAATTATTTGTGAACCCTGCAGAGAGAGACACCATTCAATTTTTGCACTTGAAAAAAATCAAGGCCTTTACTTATTTACATGGGAACTGGGGTAAATGGCTTTTATATCTTGGTATGCAAAAATCAACTATTGTAGTAAGGCAAACAGTGGTAATTGCTGGGCAAACAGTGGTAATTGCTGGGCAAATAAATGTACTGATACAAAAGAAAGTATTTTAAAAGGTCTCTTTCTTTCTTGGGCCGTGCTTCTCATACTTTTCCACCCAAATACCCCTAAGGCCCTTGAGAAGCTTTTACTCACAGAGGTGAGTAAAAAGCCACATCTAATAGAAATCAGGGGGCTTGGTTTAAAGTAATCCATAATAATCACACTTTTTTTTCAATAAAGTTAATGCAAGTATTTCATTCTACTCCATAAAAATGAGTGTTTGTTTCAACACTGACTGAGTAAAATTATGCTCCAAGGTGAGATGCCCAGTCCATTCTATAGCTTCACGTGACTCCTGGTGCATCTATGCACACCCAAGCATGGCTCTAGGGCAATCTCTGGCTATTTCATGGGCTCTTTAATTTTGAGACAAGGATTCTAGAAACATGACAGTCATAATTAGTGATTTTATTTGGCAATGGTTTCTTTTTTTTCAATTTTTTTTTTTTGGATCAGTTATTTGGTTGTGTGCTCTAGTTAAGACAATGCAGCCACTTCCTTGTTTCTACCAGTAGGTCTTGATTCTGAAGTATGGATGTCTGCTTCCTGCTTCTGTTTCTGGTGGTTCTCTCCATTTTTGTCTAAATAGGCTTTTGACTTGAATTCCTGGTTTAAGGGTATACCTTACTCTAACCCATAGTTTCCATGTGCATCCTGACTCTGTGTAGCTCTAGACAACTGGTTCCACTTTGACCATGAACTCCCAAAGAGATTTGCCAGGCAGCCTCTTCCTATGTTAGCAACCTGTTCTTGCCAATCCTGCTTTGGAATTTCTCCTGTCCTAGCTTCTCACCCCATATTCATGATTTACTGCTACACCCACTCCAGAAACAGTACAAACATACATAAAAATTAATACTTGACCATGAACTATTTTTTTTTTCTAAATTATATTTTGCTCTCAGGCTAAGGAAAATTGGGTAAACAGCAATGAAATACCATTAGGACATTTTTAAGGTTAGCTCAGAGCAATGTAAAAACAGATATGTACAGGTGGTAAAACAGATAACTACCAATTTTCAGTGAATAAATACTCTACATGAGAAGTGTTTTAAAAGTAGGACATCGAAAAATTTTACAAATTGATATTTTGGTTGACGATTCTAAGCACTTAAAATTATTTTTAAAGTGATAACTAAATTTCAAACAGATTTACCAGTCATCAGATCGAGTGCCTTCCTCAAAATGGATATTTCCCACAGTCTCCAACTCAATTAACAAAAATGGGATCAATAAGCCATGACTTCTCTTCTTTTGCTTTCCTTCAATATGATAAACAGCTTCAATTCTATTGAATAAAAAATATATAAAACCATTTAGAATGATTTAAAGATCATAACACGAAAATTCATGATAGATTCTTTTTTAACTTATGTTGACATACAAGGCTATCTCAGTGGATAAAGAAAGTGTGGTGTTAACAATAAAACCAAGTAAAAAACATTCTATTTTTTGGCAATTAAAATTACCTCAAATTTTGTTAATCTCAGAATTTGTGAGGGTTAGAAAACCATCCTGGCTCCACCATTTACAGCTCTAAGATCTTAGAAAGTCACTTAACCTTTTTATGTCTCAGCTTGCTCAGTAAAAAGTCAATAACAACATTACCTGTACCTCAAAAGGCTGTTTTGAGGATTATATGCAAAATACATGTAAAGCTCTTAGCAAACAGTTTGGACAAAGAGTAAGAACCCAATAAATATTAGCTATTATTATTGACAGTATTATTACAGGGCAAACCAACTTATCCACTTAGTGCCTTAGTAAATAGAAAAATTCTCTGAACTTACTAAGCCTCCTTGCTTTACATTCCTATACTAAACCTGAGCATGTTTCTACAAGATTCCAGACAATTCTGTATATGATTTGCTTGGTCTCATTTATATGGTCAGCTTCTGCACCAGTAGCAGCTCTAATGTTTTTCATTTGCAAGCATTAGAGGAGTGCTGTGATGGGAAGCCTCTCAGAGGGAAGCTTCTTGTCCTAATTAAGAACTGTCTCTGCAAAAAACTGTATGCCAGCTTTGAATCAATGATACCTATATGTAAATAGAAAATTGGATTGGAAATACATTTCATGTTTTAGTTTACTGTTATCATACTATAATTGCAATCTACTCCTGAAAACAGGGACATGAGCTCAAATGATGGCCTCTTATCTCAAATTTTAACAACTAGATCATTCATTAAACATACTCATCTATTTTTTTGTTCCAGAATGCTATCCTTTCATTCAAGGCATTTAGTTTTATCAATATCTTCTGTTGAAGACTTGGTTCTTCTGTGACAGTTTCACAGCCGTTTGATTTTTTGAGTTCAGATACTTTACTGTTATTGGATCTATCACTGTGCCATTTGCCAGATCCCTTAAGTTCAGCCAGTTCTCGTTCCAACTGTTGAAAACAAAGCACCAGAGAGCAAAATTAAAATGAAACACAGTAAAAGCAAAGTCTGAATTCAGGTATTAATTTTTTAATGCAATCTATTACATATATTAAAAAACAAAACCCATCCCCATCAAGTCAATTCTGACTCACTGCAACCCACATATATAACTAATTTAAATCAACAAAGTAAAAATTTAAGGTAAGAAGTAGAACAAATTTCATAAAAGCAGGTCAAACATGTGATTCATCTTTGGCGCAAGTTCAGTCAGCCAATTTCTCTTGATCCACTGATGAGCTTACATACTTCAAACATGACAATTCTCTCAATTGAAAATGATAGAAGCGGAGGCAGGGCCAAGATGGCAGAGCACTCAGATGCTTCTGTGGACCCTCTTACAACAAAGACCCAAAAAAACATGTAATTCGATTATATATGGAAATCTGGGAGCCCTGAACATCAAAGGCAGAGTTGAGGAACTGGACTGAGTGGCAGGGGGAGAGAGAGACAGTTTGGAAGCAGCAAAGAGTTGCCAGACCTAATCGGGAGAGAGCCTGAGTCCTTCAGGCCTGATCAACTTGGGGGTGAGTGGTGAGGCAGGCAAGCAGCCATGCTCGGGAGGCACGTTTTCCGCACTGGGAGAGACTCAGCACCAGAGACTCTACACGGCCACCCAGAAACAGTGAGAAGCAGCCCTTCACGAAAGATAAGTACTTGCGTACGGCTTACCACATGCATCAAAAACACCACCCACAGGGAAAAACCTCTCTACGATTTACCTCCCCGCTCCCTGCTGTGCACTGGGTCCCAGACCAGCTTCAGCAATTGCCGAGTACCCTGGGTCAGAAGAAGGATCTGTCACACGCCCTGAGCCATTCTCCCTGCCTTGGAGAGTGAACAAATTAACCAACAGAGGAAAAAATAAACTGTCGGGTCCCCTGAGCCAGGAACCCAGGGTAGGCACAGCTCTTTTGCATAGGCACAGGCATAAGAGATCCACAGATCTTGAGTGCCTTTCCCTGTGCATAGACTTGTGTGGGCCCTTCTCAATACTGAAGGCCCTCATTACCGCAGTATACCAGGGTATATACCAGAACTCTAACTTCAACTGTCTCAGCTGTGAAGTAGCAGGCTCTTGACATTTGACACTGCTCTGCTTATTAAGCAGGGTCTTAACCTACTGACATCAGGGGCCTGAGGACTGGTGGCTCCACCCATACCACCTAGCCACCTGCGAGAGGGGCTCATGAATAAGAGGTGCCCCCCAGTCCTTACAGCCAACAGCATTAGGTGCTCATAATCCGGATGCAAAACCCACCCAGCTATGTGCTCTAAGGAAGAGGGACACGCCTTCCTCCTGGACACTCAGGGGCAGCCGTCAGCCCCTGCCTTGCTCCACAGTGTGTCCCCCTGTTGCAACCAGATGCCTGTGCCTACACCAATCACCCACACCTGTCTAGGAGTGTAAGGGAGAGCCTACACTACACACCTGGAGGCTATCTACCTGGGCACCTGAGCTGAATCCATACAGGAGGAGTGGGCGAACTCCTGAGCTCAGATACCTAGTAACAGATCTAACCACCTGGTGACAGGACGTTAGAGCATCAAAGGTGCCAATAATCAAACTAGCTCATACGAGCAGCCTATGTGGGCATATCAAAACAAAAAAAGAAGCTAGGACACAGTAAGCAAACATAAAATAAATAAATATAACAACTTATCGATGGCTCACAGACAACAGTCAATATCAAATCACATAAAGAGGCAATCCATGATGGCTCCAGCAAGCTCCCAAAATGAATCTAGAAATCTTTCAGAGGAGGAAAATTTCTTGGAATTACCAGAGGCAGAATACAAAAGATTAAAATATAGAACTCTTCAAGAAATTAGGAAGGAAATTAAGCAAAACGCAGA